GGCAGCGGCCGCGTGGAGTTTTTTTTTTGCGAGAGAGAATTTGATGTGGCTCCATGAAAGAAGGCTGTTATTTCCTCCCTCTGGCTGCCGTGATCAGCCTTCTTGGTGTCTGGCTGGCTCTAAGCAGATCGAGGAGTTGCACTTCCCTCGGTGATTTCCATGTGCTTCTTCTGGCATGCCACCACGCGATGACGCAGCCGAGCGTGCGCAGCCTGTCGTCCGGCCTTCTTCAGCGGGATTGGCAACATGGGGAAGGCTTTAGGCCCAGGGGCCCCCCGTGTGTGGCTCTGGAGGGGCCCCCCGTGTGTGTGGCTCTGGGCCCGCTTGTCTGCAAATTCTCTTTAAAGCACCAGCTCCTGACCTGCTGGGAGAGGTTGCTTAGTGATGACCCTAAAGAAGGCTCCACAGCCAAAACGTTTTGTTTCTTTTCTCTCCTTTTTAGCGTGGAAAGAACTTTTACCTTTTCCCTTATAATATAAATACTATTATTGTGAACCTATTGAGGTCATTTTGGATCCGCCTGGACTGAAACCTTGAGACCCACTGGCCCTGCAGGACTGTGGATCCCTCATGACCCACGCGGATCAGGGCAGAAAACACATCGCCTTCTATTCTGAAATCTTCTGTTGCCGAACTACAGTTCTAACTATAGTTCTACACTATAACCTCCAGGTTATAGGACACTACCCTGAGGGACAAATTACTCACAGGATGAGGCTCTCATTGAAGAATTGTACCTTTCCATCAACTGGTGCTGGAAGAATTACTTAAAGAGTTCTCCCTGACACTACCGCTCCATTCCATCACTGGCAGGCCAGGTGCGGTACCCAGCGCAGTTGTTAAGTTAAAGTGATTTGTGAGTTTTTTATAGGGAAAGAATCCTGGACATTTCTTTTTAATGAAGAAATGTTTCTTTGAAAGTTTCTTTCAGAACTGGGATTCAGAATGGTCTCGGTGCCATGTGCTGAATAAGAACAGGGGGGTCAGCTCCCTGATCCAGAAAAACCAAGCTTTGGGAAGCAGAGCTGCCTGTCCCCAATGCCTTCCTCTGTCCACAGAGCGCCCTCATTAGGCCGAGAAATCCCTGTTCAAGGTTGCTGCAAGCCCAGCCTTTTCTCGGACGGCTCTGTGGTGCGTGCCAGTGACCAGAGACCTGTGCCCAAATTGCGCCCGGGCTCTGATTCCTTCCTGGGAATGAGCCAGCATACTTCAGGATTCACAGTGCACTTGGGAGGGGGGGGGGGGAAGGGTTTTACTGGAAGACCCACATGGAGGCTGGAAAGAATCTAATTTATATACAGTATTTATAAAAAACCTAGGATTAGGTGAGAGAATTATTAATAACCACGACTGTGAGAGAGGATTTGCATGTAATTTTCTGCACATCAGCTCACTCGCCTTCAGCAGTGTGGGATTTATCGGTGGAGAGGAAGCTCATTTCCAAAATATCGCCTAAGAAAAATCCCCTCTGTCTCAGACTCCTTCATGCTTTTTTTTTCCTGTTTGATTTGGATACTAAGATTATCCCCCACCCCATTTTATAAGAAAAGCACAGAAGATTTAAAATGCAGGATCACCTTTGTCTGATTTGCGTGTGTGGGTGGGGGGGGTAGACAGTGGTACTGGATTCGTGTACAATTAAAAAAACATGCCTGTAAGCCCTGATTTGTGTATCAGCCTGCGAAGGGCCTTGATGTGGGTAGCAGGCAGTAGTGCTGGAAGAGGCGAGCTTCCTTGTGAAATGAAATGAGTGACAGACCCAGAGAACGGAGTTGCGTGAGGCCAGGGCACAGGCCGAGCGCCACAGCTCCGGCTCTGGTTTATATCTGATGAGCTGACGCTCCAGTGAGCAAAGAAACAGGGTTTGTTTGAAAAAGATCTCCTGCGGCTTACATGCCACACAAGTTAACATCTTTTACTGGCAGAATTGAAAGCTTTTTAGGGACCGATCTGTTTTGCGTGATGCTGAAGCTAAACGGATGCTTTAGACCTATAATTTTTTTTTTATTGTAGACCATATTAAAAGTTAAGGCATTTCTAAAAATCAAATCCCTCACGCAGTTTCTAACCTTCATTTGAACTGTAAAATGCTTGAACTTTGCTCTCTACAAGTGTTTAGTACTTATCATTAAAGAGGCCATAGTAGTATGTCTTTTCAGAATAGGAGGGAGGAGTGAAACACAATTGCTTCTAACCCGTTATGTAGTTGTCCTGTACAGCAAAGTGTTTACTGTTTTGAATACTCTGTGAAGTCTTCCCCCCCCCCCCTCGGTTTCCTGGCAGTGTTAATGACACTTACAGGAAGATGAAGTTTCTAAGCCAAATAATTATCATTGCAAAATATTGATTGCTTGTGCACGATCTGAAAGCCTGGAGTGACACTTCCCTGAGTTCCTTTTTTTTGTACTAAGAGCTACTTAGGGTGCAGTACGAATGTGGAGGTGAGAGATGATGGCTGCAGTGTGCGTCTTGTCGGGAAGCCCTCGCTGGAGTTCTCGGATGGGACAGAGGCAGGCAGGTGGGTGGGCGGGGGGGGGTGGTAGAGGCGTTCTGAATCAGAGGGTGTCAGTAGCGAGTGAGTTGAATGACTGTGGGTGAATGGAATAAACACTATAAAGCATTGATAAACGCCCACGCAGGCATTCTCATGGCGTGATGCTGTGCTCCTAAACCAATTCCCACATTGGCAGTTTTTATTGTCACTGAGGGAAAGCCTGATGTTGCTCATCTGTTGCAGGTCTGCGGAAAAGAAACCCAAAGATGGCTTTCTGTGTTTTTGTTGTTCTTACTAATGAACTTGCAATTGATCTGAGATCATTAACACTTCCAAAGAAAAATACAAAATGGGCTGTAGTAATCGACTGTAGTAATTGATTGTCCTTTTTGGCATTTTATTTTATTCCTCAAGTAGTAATAAGGTGTACTCAGACTGTATTCCAGTAGAATATAGCACCAGGCCCCAGCTACGGCCTTCAAAAAGCTGGTTGTGAGGCAGCAGAGTTGAGTGATGAGTAAAACTGCACTCCAGGGTTATTGAGATTATTGGCTGGGAGTGCGCCTGTGCTCTGTTCCCTACAACTGGTGATTTGTTACGGGAATTCTTGTCTCAGTCAGCTTGTGGGAGGTTATTGCTTATTCTGTCTAACCAAGATACACCCTCTGCTCTACCCTTGTTTTCTTAAACGCTCTGGATAAAAACCCTTGGCTGTGTTTTAGAAGAATGCTCCTCAGATTGTTGAAATAACTGGCAGCTGTTGAAGCAACTGTAGGTGCCTTTAAGCAACTTATTATTATTGCTTTCTGTATGTTATTTATAGGCTAGCACATGTGGCTTTTCCTGCCACATAGGCTAGAAGTCAAGTAGAATCCAAAGTTAAGGCTAATTATACAAGCGCAGTTCAGTATTGCATTTGAGCAAAGTAGCTTCACTTGCTTCTGTCAGATTAATTATGTCCCTGGTTAAATTTTGTAATTGCGCCATATGTCTTTTGGGTTTAATTTTCTCTGCTGTTAACTGAGGAGACCGTATGTGCCTGGAAGGAAGTACAAACGAAAATTACAAGCAATTTCAAGACTGATAGCATTTGGAGGAACTACAGTGTAACACTGCTGTAAACTGTAATGTAGGGAAGTGTTATTGCTTGGGAGATGAATTTGACTTTGTCATGGGAAGGACTAATTTGCAGATCATATTCACCCACTTTGTTCTTTAAATAGGTCCTCTGCATTTGTCATTCTTCTTGAATGCAGCTGGATATCAAGTTTTGCCTTGCATCCGTTACAGGGATTGTTAAATTTTGGCCCTGAACTTCGAATGGCATTGGATTTCATGCGTTAAACGGTGTGATCAGATGAAGAACTGCTCGGTGGAGAACACCATGTGATTCGAGTTCATCAGAAGAGCAGAGAAGTTCGTTAATGCCAACCTTTGCTTCCCTGTCAGCGCAGGTGCAATTTCTACCCCTTTTATTTCTTCTGCTGGGCCCGACCCCTCTCCCCCACCTCTGAACTTTGAAGTCTTCACTACAGGCTGTCAGTGTCATGCATGGCCAGCCGTCTATAGTGATGATGTTACTAATAGTGGCAGCAGCAGAACGAATTCCAAAGTGTGCAGGAACTTGTCTGGTTCCCTCTTTTCTAGCAGCTCTTGGCTCCCTGGACATGTTTATTTTCTTTTGTGGAAGCAAGTTGTAATAGAAAAGATTACAACTGTGGGGGGCGGGTGGCACGATGGGGCAGCGGTTAGCCTAGCTACCTCGCAGCGCGGGGGCCCCCTGGGTTCAATTTCAGACCTTGGGGGGCTGTCTGCGTGGAAGTTGTATGTTCTTCATGTGGGTTTCCTCCAGGTGCTCTGCTTTCCTCCCTCAGTGCAAAGACGTGTAGGTAGGTCGATTGGCGTCTGGGAAAATTTGCCCTGGTGTGTGTGTCTGTGTCTGCCCTGTGATTGACTGGTGTCCTGTCCAAGGGTTATCCTGCCTTGTGCCGATTGCTTGCCGGGATAGGCTCTGGCGCCCCTGCAATCCTGTGTCGGATTAAGCAGATAGGAAACAGATGGGTAACATTATGCAAGTTTCATATCAAGTCTTTAATATTGATTATTGATTAATATTTGTACTATTACCAGATATTAAGCTGTACAGATGTAGAGCATTAAGAGTTTTGTTTTGCCTGGGCTACTTATTAGCCTGCAAAATACTGCATAGTGTCTTAGCATTTAAAAAAATCCTATTGCACATATCTGAAATGAGCTTAAATGCCACATTTGTCATCATTATTTTTGTTTTTCATTACCTTGCCACAGTGCATCAGTTGGGCTACACATCAATGGGCATAACATCGCTAGACGTGGTCTGTGTAACGCTATAACGCACAGCGTCATGGCTGTGTGCAACGGCCATTCATCATATTAGGCCGTGAACAAAAGCAGGAGACAGGATGTTCGCTGCCAAGAGGAGTTAAAAGATCACACCAGCATCTCTCTGCTTGGTCTCCTGTTTCAGGATATGGGCGAAGAGACGCGCCAGTAGGAGGCTCCAGTGTCCTATTTGGCAAGCAGCGTGGGTCAGCCGCTATGTGTCGGACAGGTGCCTGATACCCATGCTCTCCACACATCCTGTCATGGACGGGGAGAACTACCTGCACCCAGAGGGTCCCCAGCACGACAGCACCATGTACAGCTTGCCAACAGCCCCACTGCCCCACCCCGCGATGGAGGTAGGGCACCATCTTCCCAGGGCTACTTGCCACCAGCCCCGTATATTTGGCATCTTCCTGTATATTTTAGATTTAGACCTGTATATTTTTACTTTAAATGAGATTCTGTCTGTACTAATATGCCGTGACGGTGTATGAATGCTTCCGTTTTTTTTTAACGGTTTAAAACCACACGGGTAAGTAAATAAAAAACACACACAAGCTGTTATTTGTTAGTCCTCTTAAGAACAATACCAAATGTGCCTATGGAGGGCGGTTTTGTAGGTGCTTCCTGTTTCAGGCGAATGTCTGGTTAAACCTGGATGTCAACTGTAATTTTCCAAAAATACTTCCTCAGTTATAACTCTTCAAGATGGACTTTGTGTGACCTTTCTTTTGGCTTTTTACTAATTATTTTTTTTTTTGTCTGCTATTTAAATCGCATACCAAATCTAAAAGGTTACCCTGTAGGCTGAATGTGGGTAAAAACTAGGAGGGGAAGGTTTTTTTTTAGTGTTGGACAGGCCGCAGTGCTCTGTTGTTCATCCTGGGGCTTTGACGTTGCGGTAGCTTCCCTGTCTGTTTCATGTTTCTCATCTTATTGGAATATTTTTATTTGTCGGGGTGCTGGAAAATCGTAGTGAACCATTCTAAATACATGGCTGCCAGGAGCCATGTCACCCTGCAACTGGCAGCCCACTGAAGCTCAGCAGGTGTGAGCCTGGTCAGTACCTGGATGGGAGACCTGCTGGGAAACACTAAGGCTGCTGTTAGAAGAGGTGTTAGTGGGACCAGCTGGGGGCGCTCACCCTGCGTTCTGTGTAGGTATTAATGCCCCAGTATAGCGACGGGGACACTATACGAAAAAAAGCAGCCACCCACTGTGCCTTAAGAAGTACCATTCTTATGATGAGGCCTTAAACTGAGGTCTTGACTGCTTTGGTCATTAAAAATCCCTCGGCGCTTTGTGGAACAGTAGACCTGTTAACAACAGTGTCCAGCTACCTTCCGCTCTATCCTCGTGCGAACTGGCTTCTCTGAAGCTCCCCCTTAATTCGCTCAGTTCCCCACCTGCCCTGCTGTGCAGTGAGGCTGCTGGCACAGAATGCCAATCACCCGTCGCACAATCGTCGTTAATTTCACGTCCTGTCAGTTGGCAGGTTTTCCCAGTTGCACAAACAAATCAAACTTAGTTTTAAAGAAGTGAGTCTACGTGCAACACTTACAAAGAAAATTAATTGCAAAACGCTATAATTGATTTTAAAAAAGCACCTTTTCTAAGAGCTTTAGAGTGTGGATAAAAACTGTCAAGTGTTGAACTGCATTTCCAATCACCCTGCCAACTTTCTGCACATCTCGCAAGTGCAGGTGGGGTGCTGGGGTGGGGATAATTTGGTTTACTATTTATTTGGCATTGCCTAATTTTATGATATCCTTTCTTTGTCTCAGACTGGTGACAGGCACGGTGGCACAGCAGCGCAGCGCCGGCCAGGAGATAGAATCTCTCCTGCTGAGCGTGTATAATGACTCAGAGGTTAACTATGGCCTGCGTACCACGGCACAGCCTTTTCATCTTGTAATCTAGTGCTGTGTGCCTTGGCCTGGCTGAAAGTTCAGTGGCAACCCTGAATCTGCTGTCAGCTGTTTTTTCTTCCTGAAACTCTGCGGTGGTAAAGTACTGTATGCACTGTAAAAACCACTGGGGGTCACCACACCGGCACAGGGCTGGGAATGGAATGCAGGGGAAAAAGGGAGAACGCTGTCAGTCTGGGAATCCTGTTCCTTCCCTGTCCTTTCATCCTGGATTATTATCTTTAAAAAAAATTATTCTGTGGTTTATGGCTGACTTTTGGGATGAGTCAGACAGTCTGTAGCCTAATCAGTTTTGTCCCACCCAAACTAGATAGTGATATCATGCCGAAGCAGAATATGCATCCCTTAAAGAATGGCTGTCAATAATGGAATGCCAATGCAATGACATTCTGTACTCCTATGCAGGGGGCTATCACTGTTTTCTGCAGAGTCATTTCAGTCAGGAATCTTAAGCTTATAGATCTTGGTGTTTTATATTCAGGTTCACGTACAAAGCAAGTGCTGACACCAGTAACTTTTGGGATCACAGTGTTTAACAGTCACTTTCCTTCTGGGTGCATCAGGAATCTTTTTTTTTTTTAAGGGACTCCTTCTGCCTTTTCAATTTATTTTCTGTTCTCTTTCAGAGCCAAATGTATCCTCCCAGTTCGTGGCCATCATTCTCACATGCATCTCCATATAACTTGCACTATTCTATGCAACCTGGAAACCAGTAAGTACACAATTGTCCCAGAAAGAATGGTTATATTTTGGGTCACTTGTTTTCTTTATTTCTGTTCATTCTTTCTTGAATCTGCAATTAATGCTGTTAATTTCTTTTTTTAAAAAAAGAAACCTTGAGAAATCAAGGTCTGATATTTTTCTGGTTGTATCTTGCCTTAATGATTGCCGTGTTCTAGCTGTAAGCTGGTGGCGTTTTTAAATTCAGCCCTAAAATGCAGAGAAGCAACAGAGGAGATTGATTAAGGATTACTTAATAGGTGTATTAGTATTAGTTAAGCATTTGCTTTAAAAAGGCCTCTGTTGAAGTATAGAGCATTACAACAGAGCAGAAATGCGTTTCCTGCAAGGTTGAAAATTGTCCGAGACAATCTCACTGTTGCACATTTTCTTTTGTCAGAATGGGAGACTTTTAAAGCTGCATAGTTTTGGAAGGAATAAAAGCTGAAAGCTGACAGCCGCCTCCTAAAAGAGATCTGTCCTTGTAATTAATCTAAAACTGGTTCTGGCAGAGGTTAAAGAGGGTCTTGTTGAGGTGTGTGTACATACTGAGAAGAGACACGCAGAGCAAATACAAGATAGCGCTGAATTCTAGCTGCCAGGGAAAAACTCTTTTGGGTGACATGGTGGCGCAGTAGTTATCACCATTTTCGCAGTGCACTCTGGTTTCCTCCCACAGTCCAAAGACATGCTTGGGGGATTAATTGGCTTCTGGGAAGACTGGCCTTGGTGTGAGTGTGTGCATATCTGTGTGTGTCCTGCGATGGACTGACATCCTGTCCAGGGAGTATCCTGCCTTGCACCCGTTGCTTGCTGGGATAGGCTCCTGTTCCCCCTCTACCCTGTATTGGATAAAGTGATTGGAAAATAGATGGAAGGTAACAAGCACTCTTTGATTAGCTGTCCTTCCTGAAAAGATATAGAGGTGTCTTTCATGCTTTATTTTGTTTGTGGCCATCTGTTTCTTCTGTTTCTTAGCCATGGAGATCTGAAGATGTGGGACTGATAGACAGCTACAGTGGGCTTTCTGGACTGGCATAATCATGCAATTGAGTCCTTGCAGCTGTCATAGATATCTGCAGTAATCATAATTGGAAGGAAGCTAGTTTTCCTTTGTACATCTTTATTGAACATAATTTCCAGAAAAAAAACTTTTGTAGAAGTCTTCAGCTGGTTATCTCATGCACAGTTCTAAGCTGTGCATCATTTGCACCCGGTTTAAAATTTAAAGTGTACGAAAGTATTTCCTATATATTCTATGTGGACTTCTTCCTAATAAACTGTACCACAACACATAAGTGGAGACTACATGGAAATACATTTAAAACCAAGGACAGCAGGCACATCTTTACACAAAAGGCTTGTGGGAGGCTGGAACAAGCTACCCAGCTGTGCTGTAGAAAGAAACGGCTCCATGTGATCAGCTAGCTAGAAACTACAAATTGGCCTAAATGTGGATGGATGCTGCACATTGGTGGTGCTGGAGGGGAGTCCCCATTACCTGTAAAGCGCTTTGAGTGGAGTGTCCAGAAAAGCGCTATATAAGTGTAAGCAATTATTATTATTATTATTATTATTATTATTATTATTATTATTATTATTATAAATGGGCTGATGGACCTCCTCTCGTTTGTAACTCCTTAAAACTGACTTCTTAGTGCTGGTCTGATAAAGTAGCTAAAACAGACGTGAACTTGCAAAACACTGGCAGCAGAGATAAGCCACCCTTGTCTTTGCAGCCTTTTGCCAGTATTTTTTACAGTTGTAAAATGTACAGCAGTAAGATGTGTTGTTACAGTCATTGTAGCCTCTGTTACATTTCCTGGACGAAAATGTAAAGGCTCCTGGAGTTGTGGGCTTGTTCCCTCATGTATTACTTTATTCAGAGATATAATTTCTAGTAATCTGAAAATATGATGCTTACAGCTTCTCTTAAACTTTCCCGATGTCTCTTGATTCCATTTCCATCTTCATAGATACTGTTTTGGGGATTTGAGATCCCAGAGAAAGATGAGTTTTTTTTCCTTAGAGCAGTAACGGGCTCTGTGATGTGTATACGGCAGTCGATTTTTCAGTCTACTGTTCCGTAAAACACCGTTTTGAAAAGCTATCGGGCATTTCCTGCCTTAAATCCCAGTGACACTTAAAAAATGAAATGTTTGCCAGCATCATAAGAAAAGATCCCATGAAGCTAGTGAGTATTCTACATGATAGTGTCAAGTTGTGCCAGCTGGTGTGGATCTCTGGAATATAATTTAATTATTAATAGAGTTCGCCGAAAAAGGCTCGTCCTGCTGTACATATCATATTAGTATGTATGCACAAGAGTCATAGTCTGGGTCTGTGCACGAGAGAACTCAAGAGCTCTACCACTTTTGCTTTTGAAGTACCATATAATGCAGTAAGCATGATTTAATGCTTTTGGTTTCAACATTACCCCACATTTCCAGCAATGAAAAATTCAGGCCTCTACTTTTGATTTAGAATCTGAAACTGCAAACTAGTAGCTTTAAACGCTTGCTCGTTGTTTATGGTGTTGTATGAAAGGTGTGCATGTTAAGCTACTCCTGTCTCACTTTCGCACGCCCCCCAGACATCTCTTCCTCTCGGCATCTTCTGCCTCTGTGCCCCCCTGTTATCAGTGCGATTTTGCCACATCTTCTTCTCCTTTTCTCTCTTTGTCCCGGGGAGCTGGTGCTTTCACAGGGTTTTGGATCTGGGCGTCCAACTTGTCCACGTGCGCATCGTAAGGCACCCGGGGTGGAAGGGCTGGCCTACAACGCCCGCTTTCTTCCCGAACTCCTGAAGATCGAGTGATGGATCGGTTGTTAACTGTGCCTGGCAAGCAGAAAGCGAATCCATAGTTCGGTCAATACGTTGTATTGAATCGGATGAGGGGAAAAGGAATCGTAGTGTTATGTCACGTGTTTTTAAGTAAAATTGTCCATTCCCATCTCCTGCAATCCCTAGGGAACAAAAGCTCTATTCCAGGAATTTGTCTCTTAATCGCATCAGCCCCTCACAATCTCTAGCCTTTTCATCTCATGCTAAAATTTTATTTCTGTGCATGATTTGAGTGCCTCTGTCTCCTGTGGTGAAGCCAAAGACCCTAACCAGGGGTTTCATCTCAGGGAATGAAAAGCTTGCTGTCGCCAGACCGCACCGCCAGTGTTGAGCACTGTTTATTATTTTTTTTCTTTGCTCACTTGCAAAATAATCATTTCCAAAGCTGGAGCAGCAGCAGCTACAGCAAGGTTTTACCCAGACAGTTGTTCTAGACTTGAGGGTAGTTTTTTATCTCCGTTGGTGGCGTGGCTGGATGAGGGCTTGACAGGAGACTTGCTTTCTTTTAAAGGAGAGAGGCTTAATGGTCTCTCTTTTTATTTCAAAGGACAGCTTTGATAGGAAAACACAGGAAGACATCATAGACCACATCCCCCGCCTGCACCCCTCCTGCACCAAAGAATTGGTTAAACCTAGGCCAGGCCTGAACCAGTCATGTAAAACCAAGATAAATGTTAATGTTTTAGTGAATTAAATAGTTCTGCCCTTATTTTTCTAATGCTTGGACAGTGTGAAGAGCACAGTTTGAATCTGGAGAGCACAGTTTGAGTCAGGTAGAGGAACAGAAGCACAGTCTCGGGGTTGAGACGTGAGTGCACTTTGGCTGTGTGAAGAGACGCTTGACCACACTGTGTGCATGATGGCGTGCCTTCCGTGTTAAGAGTGGAGGTGTTGTTGCTTTTCTTCCCCGTGGTGCGAGTGTTTACCGTGCGTGCGACCTCCAACCATATCCTCCCGTCAGCAGAAGCGATCTGATCGCTTTACGTCAGAAACCAGCTCTCTCGTCTCTCTCTGAAACGGCGTCGGCCTTGTCGAACGAGCTCATGGATCCGGCAGGAAAGCGTGACTGCAACAAATTCCCGGCGTGCACACAAGACATTCCTGCCTTCGTTTGGGGTGGGGTGGGGGTGGGGGGGATTCAGTTACAAACGGTCTGAACTTGGAAAGTTTGGTACTGCTCTCTCAGCTGACCTGGTACCATCTTTAAATGATGATCTGTTAAATGCTGTGCTGTGATAATACGATTGTTAGCGGTATGAAAATCCCCATCACAGTGATTGAGCATCTGTTTGTCCAGGTTCACCTCTGACATACAGGCCCCCCATTCTCTGGGTGTTGAAGAATCTCATTCTGTGTTAGTGGCCACTTTCCAAGTTTTATTAAGCTTTAAATTAGAAATGAAATTCCTCACAAAATTGACCAAGCTGCAGGCTTCCTGTTGGTCTCATTGGGTGCATCTCATGTTTCAGAATTCCTGACACCCAACACAAATCCCAGAATCCAGGGTGTGTTTTTTATGTATTTTCTTTCGTTCTGTAGGTGAAAGATGTTTTTTTCTTTATCTGAACTCTAGTTAGCCAGTTGTGTTTTTGACTCAAAACGAAACTAAAAGTACAAATGCCCAACAACCCCGAACAAAGACATGCTGGCCTCTATAAAAACACTGCTTATATCTCCAATTTACCTCTCTTTTTGTTTTAAGTGAATTAAAAAGGTACTCGAAAAGGGTGTAAGTTGATTATTCTCTGAAAGACACAGGAGGACATGTAAAGTGTAATGTAAAAGTGTGGTGTTTTTCCACAAGGAAGTGATTCTGTCCTGAGATAAAGACAAAACTGAAAGCTGTTTTTTTTATGAGATCATATGGTTATACCGAGAAGTGTTTGAGAGCTGAGATCCCTTAGTTCACTTTGGTCAGGAGTGGCAGAGGAACAATGATGGGCACGATCAAGTCTGAGACATTCCAGTCCTGTGGAATATTACCGCTGAGCAAGGACGAAAGGTTGGCAGCTCTTTTCGTATGAATAAGACGGAATGCGGTGTTATTTAAGCTAAAAATATCCTGTTTCTGTTGTTCAGGATACTCCCGTTTAAAGAAAACAAGCTGTGAAGATTAGAATGTGCTTTGAACGCGTTTGTTAATGGCGAAAAATCCATTCAGATCACTACATAGAAAAGATTTTACTATACATGGTAACTTGTTGGTTACCGCAGGATATGTTTATTCATTAGTATTTACATTTTAAGTAATAGTCGTCAGTTCTCTGTAATTGAGTGTCAAAAATGTCATCACTTGCCCTAGACGTATATAACCAGTGCTTTGGCAAACCTCTGTTTGTCATCTCCTTTAGGCAAACTAGCTGTTTCAGTTACATGATATCGCAAGTCTGAAGTCATTTCTTTCACTTGTTAGAAACGGAATTTTTCAGATGAAGAGTTTCTGAATCTGGGAGCTGGTTCCAGGTTTGTAGTCTCCTGGGTGAGCTCTGGTTTGTGTTTTAATGTGCAAAAACGTAGAGCATAGGAATTATGAATGAGACAAGGGCATATGGTTCGTATAGCTTGTTTGATAGTAGCTAATTGGTTTGAGGATCTCATCTTTTTCCTGAAGGGATCCAGGATAACTTCAACTACAAGGCTAAGTAGCTTGCTCCACACTCCTACAAACCTTTGGGTAAAGAAGTGCCTCCTGTTCATCATGCTGTGAGAACTCAGTTTGGGCAAATTGTATAGTATTGGTTTTTCGTTACTACTGTAAGTGTGAGTGGGTTGTGAAAAAACTACAGGGAAACCAGAAAATCTTTCACTTTGTTGCAGAAGTTATACAGGGCAGGGTTCAAACTGAATCTGTAGTGTTGACAGGCAGTAACGAGGAAGTTTCTGCATGTTGTTCCGACAATAATAGAGCAAGTGTCTAAGGATAGAATCTGTGCCTTCATTAAGTATCTTCAGTTCAGTTCTAAATCCCGTCCATGGAAGGACTGAACCTCATACACTGTGGCACCTTGTGCTCTCTTGCAAGAACTCAAGAGCTTTACAAGAATGCATTAACCTTTGCTTAAAGATGTGCAACTTTCAAGCTGTGCTACCTCTGTGTGCGGTTCATGAGTCAGTATTTACTTTGGATTTTGGATTTGGACACGATGAGCGAAACGCTGAAACATGGTGTGAACTCCGCCTGCCTTAGTTGTGTGAGGTTCTTATGTTCGGGGGTGTCTCTCTCCCCGAATAAAAATGACAAAACATGAGATGGAAAAATGTCTTCAAAATTCCCATTATAGAAATATTTTCAGCTACATGAATTCTCAATATTTTATGTCTGTGCTGTTTTTGGAACTCAATGTTTGTAACTGACTTTACTGTCCCTGTTCTTTTCTCTTGCAGGCAATACACCACTTCAGATATGCAAATGTTCAATTGTCATTCTTTCTCGGACATAGACTTATTAAACCTTCACCTTCCCAGAAATGGAGAACTTCCTCAGGTAAAGACTGGTCTTTTTCCCAAGGGATACATTTAATGTTCTTCAGATGTGAGATGCATTAATGTAGAAAAATAAATAAGCAGGAAGCGATTTTAGATGCATCTGTTTTCTAACAGCTTTATCTTATACAGGGTTGTAGGGGAGCTGGAGCCTAGGGATCAAAGATCCAGTGTAAATCCAGCTGGTAAAAAATCCAGTGTGCTGTTGTTATTATGAGGTTGTCTGCATTTATACACAGTTTATAAAAAACATTACTGGGAAATGCTATTTTAAAGGACCTAGTGGGATGTGAACGCATTACTGTTGGTCCAATGAGAGGCTTTGTCAGCGTGTCACATGGGCAAAACGTTTACATGCCATACCATGTAGTATCGTGTAGAGCCTTTGACATTGGGCTTTTATTAATTGTCTCATGCTTGAAAATCTTAGGGAATTGTCTTGAGTGTTTTTGTTGCTGTAGAGGCACAGGATTTCTTGATATTGGCGTTTGTTTAGAGATTTCAGGTCTCCAGGGCCAGAAACGTGTTGTGTTGTGTTGTGTTGTGTTGTGTTGTGTTGTGTTGTGTTGTGTTGTGTTGTGTTGTGTGTGTGTGTGTCTGTGGTGGTGCTGCTGGTAATGGGAGCTTCCCATTTTCGGATAATCCGGCGCGCATCGTGTGGCAGGTGAGTTTCAGGTTTAGGGCCCTGTGCGTTGCGATCGGGGCTGGTGGTGTTCTGGGGCGGGTCATTCCTTTCAGTTTGCTGCGTAGGGTGCGCCCAGACGGAGCGCTGTGCTTCCTTGTAGGCAGAGCAGCGCTGCCGGATGATATCATGGGAAAGTACCTGAAAGCGATCCGAACAGGGACCGGCCTCGGGCTGTAGGTGTGCTCGGATTCGAGACCGGAGCTGCAGGAGAAGGGGCGGGGGTGGCGGGGGGGGGGTGGGAATGCAGAGCAAACGTAGGCCTTGGAATCTGAACTGAGGCATTTTGGTTTTAGAGCTAAAAGGCAGCCCCCCCCCCCCCTTCTTATTAAACAAAATGATTTTATTTGAATCCAGACTGTCTGCCTGAGGTGAAGTGTTGCCGCCAGCATGCTTTCAGGCTGTAGATGAAAAGCAAATGAAAAGGGCTGAGTGTTTATTTCAACATGACCAAGAGATTTAAATTTATACCCTTTTCCTATTTTCTTTATCACGACATTTCTACATTTCTGAGAATTTTTCCTGTTTTGCATATCTGGAATGCTGTTTTGATGTCGTTGTTTTGCGAATGTATGGCTGATTTATCATGCTCCTCTGCTGTTCTTCAGAATTCTGATTTGCATTTAATTTTTTTATCCATGTGGATTTCATTGGATGGTATTACGGTATAGCATAATGCTCCCTCTTTCATATGCATGTCAGAGGAGATTATTTTGTCTTTTGCCTTTTTAATGGAGCTGCAAGGAAACTGGGACGGGACAAACTTATTGCAATAACCTAATTGTGGGCATTTATCACGTCATAAGAATATTACAGATAATCATCATCTGTTAAGGCTTTGGCAAGACTCGGAGGTGAATCCAGCGACATCTAGGGTGGTTGTGTATTTTATGAACTGTCTTCTTTTAGACGAGAATTTTTTTTCCCCAACATGTCTCGCATCTCTCTCATGGCTAAGTCTTCCCATGTATGGAGCCTTCTTACCTTACCAGCTGCACACAAGGCTATCAGATTGATGCAGACTTGCAAATTCATAACTTTACAACACAAGAATAATATACTTAGGAGCAACGCGGCCCGTGTAAAAAAACTAGACGTTTTTCGTTCGGTTTAGCTCAGCAGTAAGTTGTACTGGGTTGAGCTGTATGGTCTGCCAGTGAGTCAGGCCACTGGGAAGAGAGGGCTGGACAGTATTCCTGCCAGGAAGAACCGGCTACGCAACCATGTGCACGTTCTCAGATGCAGACCCTGGGAGCTGAGCTGTTCATCTCCAAGGCTCTGAATTTTCTCACGATTCTAATTTATTCTAGAATGTTTAAACCCAAATGTCTTTCTCCTTCGCCTCTCCTGGCAGATTACCGATTTACTTACGGTATCTTTTGTCTGGCAGATAGGAAGACGTTAATATTTTAATTATTATTTTTGCCTTTTAGTTACTGATATGAAGGCCTTTTTCTTTTATCCTTCTCCATGGCTTGCCAGTAGTGTTGTTTGGTGTTTAGAGGATGGAGGCAAGCTGTATTTGTTCAAGAGAACTTTTCACCCCTTGCCTCTGAATACGCTGTAAGAGGTCAGGTATTGAGTTAATAAAAACGAGGAGCTTATTTGAAAAATGTAACCATGTGTATGGGATTCTTTGATTTCTTCCTTGGTTGTCAGTCTGTGCAGAGTATCAGCAGAAGGCTTGAGAGTAGCATCCCGTGAGAGTTTCATTTGAAATGTAGACCTTGGCCTTTTTGTATGTTCATTCTTTTTGTCATCGTGTTGCACATCGTGCCTTGTAGGAATCGGAGAGTTTCAGGGTACAGAAGGTTCAAAGGCAGGTCAGATTGGTGAGTGGCAGAAACAAGTTTCCTCATTCCATCCTGTGTCCACGTAGCAATGAGTGTTCAACTTCTAATTTTTTAAGGATAAACACCTTCAAATTTTCCACACTCCCCCCCAAAAATGGAGTTTTTCAGACAATAGAACTACGTGACAATTTGCAAGTGACAAAGTATTGCTGTAGATTTCCTTTTTGTTAATCTCTAACGTATATAAGGGCTCACTGTAGAACTGTACAGTTCTGTCCGTATAGAAATCTGCATAGAATCTCAATTGAAAAAGGTTACTGTGCAGGGTGCGGTGATTGAAGATGATCTTGGTATAGACTTCGGTTGATAATATTAATTGTTATTCTTTGTTTTGTTATTGGTGGGGTACCTTAGCTAGGTTTTCATTGATAAAGTGGGGAATCTCATGGATTCCAGTTTGATTGCTTTTAAGGGTTTGAATACATATCCTTGATCTGTGTACAGCTTACCAGTTCCTAGCCTAATGTCCTGAGCCACCACTGTTCTGCTGCCTTTGTCTGTCTTTGCATGAATACCAGTGTGCGGCTCTGGTTTTGGATGAAGTCATGCTCTGCTCTTATTCACTCGCACCTGTGGCAGTGCCTGTCAGACAAGCACACAAGCCGCAAACCAAATTTGTTTATTCCTGACTCAGCTCCGTGGTACGATTTGCCAGAAAAAAAATAGGCCTCTCTGCTTTTCATTAGCTTGTCCATTTGAATTAAAACGGGGAAAAAAAAAAACCCTGTCAAATTCGGGTGTCTTCTTAAGGATGAGTTTTTCTAGTGTTTGGGTTTACATTTAAACAGGATTTAGAGGTTATCCGTGATCTGAATGTTTGCAACTCTGAACAAAAGGTGTTTGTTTTAGAACTGTTGGTGTTTATCATCACTGGAGGCTTGGTCCCACATAAGCATGTATTCTATCAAAACCCGTTTTGCTCCTCAAGTTTCCATCAAATGGAATGTGTCTACTTGGGCTGGTGTAAGACAGGACATCAGACTTGCTTTGGCACGTAATATATTTAAATGTTTTTAGCCTTAAAAGATCCTACTACTTCTACCAGAAAAACATAGGAACTGTTTCAGCTCTTTTACATGAGTTTTACCAATATTTGCCCAGTATTGCACTGTTAAGTCACAAGCTTGTGAATGCAGTCTCACTGCTGATGCTGTGAATATAAACCTACAAGGCCCTCAGTTACAGTGGCCATCACCTCCTGTCTCCCCTGTGGCTTGTGGAGGCAGAGCATCAGCATGAGACACGCAGAGAAAATTCAAGTCATGTGCTCGTGAGCAATACTTCCCTTCAGCGCCCAGGGTATGGTGTGTGCTACCAAAGTCCACTCCACAGTGCAGTACACTGGCATGCCTGCTGGCCGTGCCACACAGAACCAGACAGGAATCTAGTGAGCAGAACTTGAACGACATCAGAGCTGTAGGGCCACCCTCGGTGCCGATGGTTTTATACCAGGGCACTGGAGAATTGACCTTAGTGCATTAGTGTGTCCCCATACAGTGTATACGTTTGGCTAAGAGTGCCTTTCCGTTTCAAAAACGGCTTGGTTGATTTGATTGCCTGGCGCGTCATTGCCGGTGATCTGTTTAGTAAACAGTCAAGCATGCTGCAGTGTCACGCAGTGGCGTCAGATCGTAGCACTGTTCCTTTAAGAAGCACTCCTGCACGCATGAGACCTTTTATCCACCCTCTTTGACTTGAACTCGAACCCTAGGGTAGCTGGTCATTCCAGCAGGGCTCAACTGGAGTGCTCTGCTTCTGCGCTGCAGCGATATAGCGATCCATATCATTCTGCATACCAAGCCTTGAGAAAGTTAATGGTAGTTCATTTGTGCAATATTTCCTTTCAATTTTCCATCGTGTTTGTATGCTTATACACTGCCTTTTGTTTTTTTAATTTGTGTCATGCTCCAGTACACTAATGAATGCTTTGCCTTCCTTTCATCAGACCTTTGCTGTGTCTTAATACACTTTACACTGCTTTTTCCTTCATCTTTTTCAGTGTGTACCTACAGGCCTTTTTAAAGACTTTAAAGAGTAGGTCCACAGCTGAAGTATCAGCACTGTATTTTGTAACATAAAAATGAAATGAGTTCCTAATTTACCAAATTAAAAAGATCTTCAAGAAGATCTGGCATCTTGAAAGACTTCAATAACTTACCAAAACTTTCTTATTACAGAAGAACGGACACACCTAGCCAATTAGTAATGTTTTGGGACTGTGGATCTGCATCCTTAATGATTTAAGTTACTTAGTTAAGAGCACAAGCTAAGAACCTGATTTCTGTTTCTGAAGCATTTCAGGGCTGTTTCTTTGTTGTCTTCGGCACAGATTCAGGATATCCTTGCATTGTGTTAAAGTGCTATGTGTGCTGTTTACAGGATGTGATTGTAGATGAAAAAGAAAGAAGACTTCGATAAACTCCATTGGTTGTTGCAGCAGTTTATTTCTTTAACACTGGAGCAGCA